ACAACACCAACATCACCACCAACAACACCAACATCACCACCAACAACACCAACATCACCACCAACAACACCAACATCACCACCAACAACCACCACAACAACTACCACCAACACCACAGCCGTTGCTACTACCACAACGCTCTACTTTCCTACTCCCGAATCTGATGCTGTCTCTAGTTCTTGTACGTGTATTACTGTCGCTACTTTTACTGCTGTCGGTACCTGTACTACTGGCTTAGCCGAGGCTGCTGTCACTACTTCTGTAGTTGTCTCTAATACTTCTACTGTCTCTTCTTCTACAACTGTCGCTGCTGCTGTCGCTACTTCTGTTGTTGTCTCTAATATTGCTGCTGTCTCTACTTCTACAACTGTCGCTGCTGCTGTCTCTACTTCTACAACTGTCGCTGCTGCTGTCTCTACTTCTACAACTGTCGCTGCTGCTGTCTCTACTACTTCTACAACTGTCGCTGTTGCTGTCTCTACTACTTCTACAACTGTCGCTGCTGCTGTCTCTACTTCTACAACTGCCGCTGCTGCTGTCTCTACTTCTACAACTGTCGTTGCTGCTGTCTCTACTACTACTACCGTCGCTAGTTCAGCTGTAACTGTTGTCTCTAATGTTACTACTGTCGCTGCTGCTGCTGTCTCTACACATCTACAACTGTCGCTGCTGCTGCTGTCTCTACACATCTACAATTGTCGCTGTTGCTGTCGCCGTCGCCGTAGCTGCTTGTGCTGCTGCTACAGTGTTGTTATTGTTGGTGGTGATGTTGTCACCGAGTGGGTGAGTGAGTGAGTGAGTGAGTGAATGAGTGGGGCGGGACACCGACTCTACCACAAGCCTCTAGCCCGCTCCGGCGTCGTCGCCGTCGTCCGTCCGTCCCTCCCTCCCTCCCACCCAGCCCGTCCCAGATCCCAGGTTCCAGGTCCCCCCCGTCCCCCGTCACACCAGGCCACGGCGGGAGAATCCCGCGGGCGATCTGTTAGCCGTCACTGTGTGTGCGCGCGCGTGTGTGTGTGTGCGCAGAGAGATTCATTCACTTAACCAACGGTTTACAACAATTCGAGATCTGTCGCCGCTAGCTTTTGTGTCACTCATCCACCATCACCACCTCCTCCTCCTACTACTATTACGCCTCCTCCTCCTCATCTTCTTCTTCCCCCACCTTCCTCCTCCTCCTCCTCCTCCTCCTCCTCCTCCCGACTTTTTGTGAAAGCGGTCTACAAATGACAGTGTGACCCATGACTTCAAGTCATAATGGACGCGTTTTGTTCCGTAAGAGAAAGGAAGCTGCCTGCTTCTGTACTTATCGCCGAAACCATCGTCGCTTATCGCTGAGGAGCTTAGTCGGCGAGGATACTGTCTCAGCTGGTTAGTTAGACTTGACTTCTATATATAAAAAAAAGAAAATTATTTATAAAATTCGTCGGTGGATTCGTCAAAGTGACATGCCGTGGATTCAGGATATTATGATCCCGCACAACAACAGCTCTAAATCCACGAGTCTTTGATGGTATGGTAACGCTATATATCTCCGAGAGGTGTTAGAATAATGTTCATTTCTCAAGCCTTCTGAGTTTTCAGAATAGTGACAAAGTGTTTTATTATACCTCGCTTCTGAGTCAAAGGGAAACAAATAATTGTTGTAAATCGTCTCAATTAACTGTGATGAACTTGGTTGTGATAGAAAGAAGAAGGAAAAAAGACTGTGCGATTGTTCAAAATGATTTTTATTTTACGATAAGTGCGTACATAGAAATGCGAAGTGCTTCAGACATTGTAGGCATGTACTTTCACTCACAAAATCGGATCCCCTCTCCTTAAGCCTTACGACTTGATGAATTAAATCATAATTTATTATTATTTCTGTGGCGTAGAGTTTGTCGCAGTGTAAAGTGTTATGCCAAGGATCATTGTGAGGCTATCGGAGCAGATTGGAACAGTTCACAATAATTGACCGGAAATCCCCTCCTCGATTTGCCAGGAGGGTGTGGGTCTGTCGGAGTGTTTGTGTTTGTTTGTGTGCATTCTTCTGTGGAGACGACCGGATTGTTTTGATCAGGAGCCGACTTGGGATTAGCAGGACTCTATTTTTGTCTTCGTGCAATTCTTAACTAGAGTTAATAGATCTACATTTATTATTGTGACTGGGTGGGGGTTTTTTAGGGGGTGTGTATCTGAACATTACGTGTGCTGAGTGTGTACATGTACACTTCTTCAAACACACACGGACGCCGTTACACACTTACACACTGACACACTCCCAACTCGTGCATATTATTATATTTATTCATAGTTCCACAACAAGCAACTGGTCCGAGTTGACCTCTGACTTGTAAACTTTGACCCACACATGGCCGCCTTAACCTGGGAGCGTATGCTTCCCCGAGCATGTAGCGAAGCCATGGGACCAGCAGGGAAGAGACCCTTCCACTCGCCCATGGAGCTCACGGCTTACTGCTACCACCCGCCACCCGCCCACCCGTCCCCACACCACCACCATCACCACCACCACCACCACCCCCATTCGATGGGTCACCCGGGCGCCCACCCAGGCTCACACCCGGCCCAGGGAATGATGGATTTCTACCATTCATGTAAGAGTAAGTAACGCACCTTAAGTGTGAGTAGGTGGCCTACAAGCGACATAGTTTCTATTATTATACATATATAGATGCACGTAATACAGTATTTACGATCGTGGGCCTACAAACAACATAATTTATATATATTTATA